AGAAACAAGGTCCAAGTTGCCTCTTTTAGAGAAAAGAATTAGATATACAACAGATTAATTGGCCTCTTCTAGTTTTGTCCAACAGAACTTTCTGTGGTGATGGGAATCTTCTGTATCTGCACTGTCCTGTAGCCACACTGTGGCCAAAAGCCACACTATGACTGTTAAGCACTTGAAAAGTGACTAGTGTGACTGAGAAACTGAATTAATTTTATTTAGCTTTAATTACATATTTAAATATTTAAGACAAATGTTCTAGTGGCTACCATACTGTACAATGCAGCTCTAGATCCTCTACCAGAGGCAATCCCTCCCACCCCCAGGACAACATGACTTCATCTGGAGAGGTTTCTGGTTGTCAACTGCACAGCGAGGGTGCCCAGGGCATCCAGTGGGTAGAGGCCAGACATGCTGCTCAACATTCTATAAGGCACAGAATAGCTTCCGACAACGGAGAATTATCCAGCCTAAAATGTCAGCAGTGCCAGTTTTGAAAAACACTGCTCTAAGTTTATCCAAGGTTGGAATTAAAAGTAAATGCAAAATAAATTGCCATATACCTTGTTTAAACATAATATCCAGGAAGAATGAGATTCTCCAAGCAATAGGAAAAGGTTTGGGCTGTTCTACAAACTTAAGGTAGCAGGTTTTTACTAAAAAGTATACGTAAATGTGTTCAACAACTTATTAAGAACTTCAGCCTCAGAATAATTATTTCCTGTGGCATTTTAAAACTTGAGTATTAACATAAGTAAGCACTGTGAGACTATGCTTTAAGCAAGGGTGTCCAATGTATGAAGAACAAGGCCCTAGAGCAGGGGTGTCAAACTCATTTTCACCAGGGGCAACATCAGCCTCGAGGTTGCTTTCAAAGGGCGAAAATAATTTTAGGACTGTGTAAATGCAACTACTCCTTAACCATTAAGGAGTTGAAATTACACTTGGCCCTTTGAAGGCTGAGGGTTCTAGTCCCACTCTTTTAGTTTGAATTCCTGGCCCCTTCGATTAACCTCTCTAGTTTCTTAAGACAGCACTAATTTCAGTTACAAGAAGAACACTGATACTATTGTGAAAAAGGACAAGAAAATGGCTGGGTCATTGCAGGTATGCACATCTATATATTACCTAAAAAAAAGCAAGAATGTAATTTTATTTGAATGAAAGGAAATATACTGAATGATTCTATTAAATGATGACAGCATAGTACATTTTAGAGTGAGAGAGATTACCTGAAATTTTAGAGGATGGGTATCAAATAACATTGTGGTGTCTGTAGCAGTATAAATTATGCAAAGATCCGCTTAAATGGGATCATTCAGAACTGCCCAAATAGTTCTCAAATTTATATCAGCAATGTGGAATTTAGCTCAGAATAGACTATTCCTCAAAGAAACAGGAATGGGACCCCACCTCAATGTTTTAGATTTAAACTATTTTTTAGAACATAGTATCTTCGATATTCGTATTATAGCAATGCCTTTTCTCATCTGCCCACTCAGCAACAAGAAGTTGTTCATTACATGTAAGGCCTTCTATTGCTTCAGGAAATGTAAAAATAAGACGGTCTTAGTTCTAAAAAACTTGTCACTCAGAATTTCTACACTGGCCTAAGGCAGAAACTTCCAGCCCACACATTCTGAATTCTTAAAAGAGCACACTACAATTTTTGTGAATGCTCTAGCCTTAAGAACTTTGGAATTTCAGTGTGTCTTCAGATCTTCATCTGGAAAATTTAAGATCTTTTATCATCAATTAACATTTGGAGAACTGCTGTAATCTACTAACCAAATGTCAGAAAAGTAGTAAAGCAGGATTCCAACCCACTGTTTCATACTTTGCCTACAAAGAACTATTCTTGGAGGAAAGATCAGCCAGTTCCTTGGGGTTTTAACTGAAATGACAAAAGCCCATCCTATTTCCTCCTAAAATTGGAAAACATGGAAGCATTTTAACATTATTTTGTATTCAACTACTGGTGTTCCACACAAGGTGCTCTCAACCTCAGCATGACTGACCTTTTGAGCAGATGATTCTCTGGTTTGGGGCTGTTCTGTGCAATGTTTAGCAGCACCAATGGCCGCCATCCACACAGTGCAAGCCTCCTTACCCCCTAGTTACAGTAATCAAAAATGTTTCCTGACGTGGCCAAATGTCCCCTGGGGAACAAAACTGCCTCATAGTTGAGACTCACTGATCCAGACTAAAACTCAAAGTACCTAAAAGTAGACACTGCTAATCAAAAGCCTGGAGAGAGTTTATTCCTAGCCAGAAAGGCAGTGGATGAACACGTTTTCTTTTCATGGCTGCATTCCCCCCAACTTATGAGAAACATCCTAGGCGTGGGCTCTACCGCTGTGGGTACATGAAGACATCTGGCTGAACTTGTACATTACACCCTTCGACTCTCCAGAGACAAGCACAGCAGCTGTTGCATCGACAAATGACAAAATATGTTATTTGTCAGTTCAAAATTAAAAGAATGCGGTCCTAAAACACTAGCATTGCTCCTGAATTCTACGTGTGAAAAATTGGACAAGCAGACTCCCAAACTTGAACAGGGAGAAAGGCTTTAAGGGAGGGCAGAATGTCAGGTTCTGAAAGTAGGTATCCGTGAAGAGATCCAAGCCCTGGTTCTCATTCACAAGCTCTAAACCCGGGACAATCAGAATCCATTTCACAGATCAATGCAGTCAGTCAGGTACATCACGCTACTGTTCTCCCAAGGGAGAGGACAGTAGCTTTCGCAGAGGAAAGTGCTGCTGCCAGCGGATTTCGGGTTGATAGGAGGGTTTCTCCCTCGCCATCAAAAGGAAGAGCCAAAAAGTTCTGAAGTAGCAGCAAGCCCCAAAATGAAACTCACAATCTACAGAAAACCCACCCTTTTGTTGAATGCTGAGGTCTTAACCTGCGTTCACAAACTACTGCATCAGAATCACGTGGGGGAACTTGTTAAACACGCAGAACCCCGTCCCGCCCCCTAGAGAGATTCGGCCTCCAGACCTGAAAATCTGGATTTTAACCAAGGGCCCCAGACGATTTCTAGGCACAGTGAAGCTGGAAAACCACTATTTTACTGGGTTTTTTTTTTTCCCCTACCCTGGAAACCACAGAAAACCTACAGGACTGCAGCTAGCTCCCAGACAACTGGGGCTCCTGTGCAGGCGCTTCTGGGGCTACAAGTTGTTAGCTCTGTCATCCAAATGGGCGAGCCGAACTCAAAGCCAGCCCCAAGGAGGGCCCAGCATCGGGCTCCAGGGCGCTCACGGCCCGAGGCAGAACCAGGCTCAGTCTCTCTCGGTCCACAGGGACACGAAAGACTCCGGGCCCCGTAACCTGACCAGGCCTCAGCCGCGAGCGCTGGGCCGGACCCCGTTCGGGGCCAGGCCTCCTCAGGTGGAGCCCGTTAACCCCCTGCCCACCCCCCACCCCCCAGTCACAATGGCCGCTCGCCACAGGGAAACAGTAACCACGGAGGTGGAGACCCCGGCCGCGGTGCCGCATCCTGCCCCCGGTACGAACCTTCTCCTGGGACGCTTCCATGGTTGAGGCGGCAGGCGGAGCCCGATGGAAGATCGCAGTCCCCGGCGCTACTTCCGCCTCCCGTGCTCCGCCGCCGTTTCCACGCTGGCAGCGCTGACGTCCCGGCGCCCGCGGCTGGCAGGGCGGAGACCAGGAGCAGCTCCCGGAGTCTCCACTGGGTGGAGAATCCGCTTGTGTCCGGGAGGCGGGGCGCAGTGGGATGCGCGAACCCCTACAGGTGGGCGGGTCCCTCTGGGCTTCCGTACCTGGCCAACTAGTGGGCCAGCCCTAACGTTCCCAGTTGAGTGGGGTAGGATGGACGGTGGAGCAGTTCCGAACTCTTTTAAAAACCTTGTCGCACACGTCAGAGTAGAAATATACAATAATAAATTACCACCTATGCAGTCAAATGCAGGAACTCCTAGTAAAGCACCTGTGCTTCCAGGTCTAGGCTTCCAAGTTCCATCATCTCAGGAATAGAACAGTCCATTCACCACAGATGGGCGGGGGGGGGGGGCGGAATACTTGTGCGCATGCTCAGGATCAACAGTTTCTTGGGTGCTTGAGGGGGTTTATCATAAACCATGCTTGGGTGTCAGTTCTTGGATTGTCAAGTGACAGCTGCTCTGAAAAGGCATCGACCAGAGCTGAAGTATTTGTTTCAGACCTTACCGCAGAATTCTAGATAGAAAAGAGTTTGAGACAACTGGCCTAGCCTCCTTCATGTCAAGTCCCAATTATGACTTGTCAGGTGATGATAAAGATAATAAATCAACTGCTGTTTTCTCATTTCATAGTATTGTACAACAGCCCCGTGTTATACAGCTGCTTATCTCTATTATACAGTGGCAATAGGATCCAGACTCAACCACCTGACTGCAGTGTTTGTGCACTACACACACTACCTTGATAACTGCTTCCAAACTTAATATGTAAGCATAATGTGGTTTTAAGGAAAGGAAGACATCAAAATTTGCTCGTTATATTCTTCTAGAAGAGGGAAACTGAAATAGACTACCATGGGTGCAATCAGTAAAGCAATTCACAGCTAGGAGACCAATGACCTTAAAACCACAAAACCATTCCTTCTGCCTCCTGTTTTGTGTGCATTTCTTCCGAAATTTGTGTAAATGACTCGGTCACATTTTCAATGTAGTAATTACATATTTCGAGCTACCTAACTTGTGTTTGGTTATTTTTCTGATTATATTAATAAAATTTTCTACCAAAAGGAGGCTTCTGTGCTGGGAACTATTGGAAACTATTCTGAATAGAACCATGGGAACTATTCAGATTTTCCAGAGCTCTCAAACAGAAGGAATGTCTAAAAATCAAATACGGTATAACCATACTTACGGAACACAGGTCACTTTTACCTATGTGGTATGAAAATTTTCAAACATTTACAAAAGTTGAAAAGAATTGTACATGAACACCCATATGTTCACTGCCTAGACTCTACAATAAACATTTCCCTGCATAAGACTACTTTCAGGGATCGTGTCTACAGTTTCTTACTAGTTTTTCTGAGCGTGCAGAGCACCTGAAACCACAAGGGGGCGCGGCATTCTCTCCTGAGCCTGAAGCAGGCCTTTGGTGTGCTTTGCAACTGCTGTTGTTGGCCCTTGATGGTCATTCTAGCCTTCCTTTGGGAGAGTAAGAGGGGAAGGACAAGCGCAGTCTCAGTGGCTTCTGAAAAAAATTAAAAAATGCGCTTACAATACTTCCTTTATTACATAAAATGTCCAGGAGGGGGTGTATAAAACTCTTGAAACTATCCCCCAAATTTTCTGTGTGTTGAATGGAAAGTGACTATCGCTTTGGTTTTACACTCAAGTGTCTCTCTCTTACACACACACACACACACACACACACACACACACACACACACACACTTCCCGCTAAGGAAGTTAAAACCGTTTGGCTTGTAGATAGCTATGTGAGCTGATAAGTTATAATGCAACAGTCTATGGGCCAGTACAAAGATAAAAATATTGTAGGAAGTGAGAACATAAAAACAACCACTCACTGTGGGGACATTCAGCTTACATGTGCTGATACAGACCTTTCTTGATTAATAGGCAATAAGCAAAGTAAAGGAACCCTGTGGTTATTTTTTTCCTTTGGGGACATTTACATGATTTTTTTTGTTGTGTCCTGAGTAATATGTACATAATATTCTAGATGATGATTTTTAGTCCTTAACTTTTAGAACCAACCAGGTGACACATAAGGAAGATACATTTATTATTCACCATGGCAAGGTAAAAATAATAAATCACCGAAAAGCAGGAGAGAAGAGGCAAGGTGAATAGGAATGTAAGAGGAATCACCAATGTCTTCAACTCCATTCCAAGAAATAAGGTAGAGAGCTAAATCAAGAATCAAAGTTTTACATATACTATTCTTAAAGATGTAAAAGAAAACTTCTAGGAGAAATACAATCTAACAGAAATCAGGATTTGGAAGGGATAAGAGAGCTGGTGCAAATGGCAATAAAGTTCTCATTTTTATAGGAAGGAGTTAATAGATTCTTTCTAAATTAAGACACAATATAGGACATTTTTTACAATGTAGCAAGCAATTTTCCCTTCCAAGTCTAGCTATCTTATCCAGTGCCTAGGGTGCAATGGGAGTTCAGTGAACAATTGCTGAATGCCTTGATTCAACACATTTTTGGAGAGTCCATTATATGCCAGGTAGTATTCTAGGAATTGGTGATACAATGATTAAGAGATTAAGTCTTTGACAAAATAATGGTCACCAGACCGGTAGGTGGGTGGTGGGGGGCTGGGTAAAAAAGGTGAAGGGATTAAGATGTACACATTGCCAGTTACAAAAATAGTCACCAGGGTGTAAGGTACAGCACACAGAATATAGTCGGTAATATTGTAATAGCTATGTATGGTGCTAGGTAAGTACTACACTTATCGGGGTGTTCATTTTGTAAGTTATATATAATAAATGTCTAATCACTATGTTGTAAACCTAAAATTAATATTGTATGTTAGCTGTAGTTGACAAATTTTTAAAAAGAGATTAAGTATCTGAATTTGTGGATCTTACCATACTATTGGAATGGATACATAACAAATAGCTATATTATATAATATTAATTAGTTGTAAGTATCATAAGGAAAATAGAGCAGGATAAAAGAGAGACAATAAATTCTGAATTAATCCATCCCTCAGGTTGAAAATATGAAATCTCTATTCTAAAATATTGAAAATATTTGTTAAGTGATAATTAGCTAAAAGTAGAAGAAAATTAAGCTAAACCAACCACTGTCATCAATTATTTATTATTAAGTAAATAACAGCACTTGGAGGAAAGTGTTCCCGTTGACTTTTTTTCTCATACTCGCAGGAACTTTCTTTGATGTTGGAGCAGTTCTGGAAAGTCATAGACCTTACTATCATTAATTATCGTGGGAGCAGAGTGGGGAGTCTTGGAAAATCTGAAGCAGATATGTTAAGATTGTTAGTCATATAAAAACAAAAATTTTCTAACAGTTTAAACTAAAATTTATGTTTAAGATCATTCTTCCCTTAAGTAAAATTTTAGAGGATATTCAATATTTTATGGGACATTGTAAAAAGGTGAAATAGTACCAAAATGTGAATTCCAAGGGTTATCAAGGATAGACCTTGGTTTATCCTTGGACACATGGACAAAGCCAAAGGGGGTTGGGATTGAGGGTGGGAGGTGGGGATGGGTGGGGTGGAGGGAAGTGGTGGGGAAAAATGGAGACAACTGTACTCGAACAGAAAAAATCCCCCATCACATTGTCTACTTAAAAAAAATGTGAATTCCACTTTTCGTTTGTTTCAGATTTATTTATTTTTGAAAGAACTCAGCCTTCTCTAAAACTGTGCCCCCAAAGGAAAATGAACAAAGACTTTAAAAGACAATATGAGTCCCTGGCCGGTTTGCTCAGTAGGTTAGAGCACCATCTTCAATACACTAAGGTTGGAGGTTCCATCCCCAGTCAGGGCAGAAACAAGAATCAACCAATGAATGCATAAATAAATGGAACAACAAATCAGTGATTCTCTCTCCCTCCTCTATAAAGTCAAATTAAAAAAAAGACAATATAAAAAAGAAAAATATGCAAATGGTCAATAAACTGAAAAAGTTCAACATTACTAGGGATCCAAAAAATGCAAAAATCAAGCAAGATAGTATTTTTGCCCATCAAATTAGTAAAGTTCTTTGTTTTTGATAGTAATATCCACTGTTAATTAAAGTAGAAGAAAATACTCTCATGCATTACTGGTAGAATTTCAAATTGCTGCAACAATTTTTATATGTTTCAATTCAATTGATGTATTTTTGGCATTCAGTAACAACAAAAAACCTTAAAATATACATGCCCTTTTTTGCTAAAAATTCTGCTTCCAGAAATTTAAGATAAAATTAAATGAAAGATTTAACTATAAGAATGTCAATAACAGCAGTATTTATAATGATTAAAAATTTTAAACTATGTATCCAACAATATAACCAGAGAGTGGTTAAAATATGGTAAAATTGGTTAAGAAACCTTTAAAAATAGTGATGTAGATACCTACTTATTGACATGGAAAGATGATATATTGTTAACTCAAAAATGTAGGTACAAAATGCTATGTGTAGTATAAGCCTAATTAAAAAAAATTGTATGAAGACATGGGAAAGGCTATTAAAAATTAACCCAAAATGAAAACTGGTTAACTGGTAAAATGTTAATTTTCTTCATTATACTATTTTATGTTTTTTGTACTTGTTGTAGAATAATTTTTTAAAGTATATTTTATTGATTATGCTATTACATTTGTCCCCCTTTTTTCTCCCTTTCATCCTCCTCTGCCCTGAAAACCCCCTTCCTCCAGCATCTCCCCTTAGTTCATGTCCATGGATCGTACATATAAGTTCTTTCGCTTCTCCATTTCCTATATCATTCTTAACCTCCCTCTATCTATTTTGTACCTACCAATATACCCTTCTTATTCCTTGTACGTTTTAGGTTCAGTTGTTGATAGTTGTGCATTTGTCATTTTACTCTTTATAGTTTTTATCTTCTTTTTCTTAGATAAGCCCCTTTAACATTTCATATAATAAGGAGTTGGTGATGATGAACTTCTTTAACTTTACTTTATCTGGGAAGCACTTCATCTGCCCTTCCATTCTAAATGACAGTTTTGCTAGATAGAGTAATCTTGGACATAGGTCTTTGCATTTCATGACTTTGAATTCTTCTTTGCAGACCCTTCTTGCTTGCAAGGTTTCTTTTGAGGAATTAGTTGATAGTCTGATGGGAATTCCTTTGTAGGTAACTCTCTCCTCTTTTGCTGCTTTTAAGATTCTCTCCTGAAACAGATGAATGACTTCCAGCCAAGATGGAAGCATAGGTAGACACACTGTGCCTCCTTGCACAACCAAAAGAACTACAACAACAAATTTAAAAACAAAAAACAACCAGAACTGACAGAAAAATCAAACTGTATGGAAATCTGACAACCAAGGAATTAAAGAAACATTTATCCAGACAGGTACTATGGGCGGAGACACATAGCTGGGTGGAGAGGACTCTCGGCAAGGCAGTGTCAGGAGGACTGGGTGAGGCAGTGGCTTGCAGACTGGCTGGTCCCACACTGGAGTGCAGATAAACTGGGAGGAACAACTAGGGAGGGAGATAGACTGCACGACCCAGGGTTCCAGCAAGGGGAAATAAAGCCTCAAAACCTCTGACTGAAAATACCTGTGGGGATTGAGGCAGCAGTGGGAGAAACTCCCAGCCTCACAGGAGAGTTCATTGGAGAGACCCACAGGGTCATGAAATGTACACAAACTCACCCACCCGGGAATCAGCACCAGAAGGGCCTAATTTACTTGTAAGAAGCAGGGGAAGTGACAAAGCCGGCAGAGAGCAGAGCAAGCTGCATTGTTCCCTCTAGGACCCCTCACCCATGTACAGCATCACTACACAGTCATGTGGGTTGCCTCGCCCTGATGAATACCTAAGGCTCCACCCCTTACTATGTGACAAGCTGCTGAACCCCCTCCCCCACCAAAAAAAAGGCCCAAATGAAAGAACAGTTCAAAGCTCTAGAAAAAAATACAACTAAGTGACGAAGAGATAGCCAACCTATCAGACGCACAGTTTAAAACACTGGTTATCAGGATGCTCCAGGAACTCACTGAGTTCTTCAAAAGAGTTAAAAAGACCCATGCAGCAATGAAGGCTGCATTATGTGAAATGGAGGAAAATGTACAGGGAACCAACAGTGACAGGAAGGAAACTGAGACTCAAACCAATGGTTTGGAGCATAAGGAAGAAAGAAACATTCGACCAGAACAGAACAAAGAGACAAATTCAAAAAAATGAGGAGAGGCTTAGGAACCTCCAGAACATTTTTAAATGTTCCAAAATCCAAATTATAGGGGTACCAGGAGGGAAAGAGGAAGAGTGAGAAATTGAAAACTTAATTGAAAAAATCATGAAGGAGAACCTCCCCAATCTGGCAAAGGAAATAGATTTTCAGGAATCCAGGAAGCTGAGTCTCCCCAAGAAGTTGGACCCAAGGAAGAACACACCAAGGCACATCATAATTACATTACCCCAAATAAAAGATAAGGAGAGAATCTTAAAAGCAGCAAGAGAAAAGGAGACAGTCACCTACAAAGGAGTTCCCATAAGATTATCAGTT